CAGGTAAAAACGTGCAGCGAGGCAGTTGGCAATGACGTGAGGTTCCTACCGTAATTTTCGCAGATAATGCCAAATGTCGTCTGGAGCGTGCGTTTCAGCAGAACATCGCCTCGAAACGAAACGGCTCGGCGATTTTCATTCCCGAATGCGAGCCAGACGGCACCTACTCTGTTGTTCAGGTACGGTAGTGACTGCTGTTAGCATCAACGTCGGTTCATATGCCTTCTTCTAGTGTCACCGAAGCACCGGCTACTGCTGGTGCGTCACCAACAACGGTAAGCCTATTCCCGGGACCTCGGTGCGCCAACGAAAGCCAAAGTGTTCTCCTCAAGGTGAGAGTAAACGAGTCTTTCATGACTCGTGCGTTGTTCGTCTCTAGCAGAGAGTCATTTAGGAAAACTTGGCAGGCGTTCCTCGCAACTCATCGTTGGTAGGAAGGACGAAGGTATAGCTTTCAGCCTTCATTCACTTTAGCATCGTATTTTTGCTTTCTGTGTTGCTTCATTGACACCCCTTTAGCTCCAGTCGTTTATGTTTCACCTGTATTGCTCCCGATTTCTTTACAACTTGGTGGTCTTGGTCGAACAGTCGTAAGCTTCCATTGAGCTATTTCCATTCTTTCTTCTACAGTCACAGGCGTTGTTAAACGGCTTTCAGTTATTCAACATTGACCATTTTCTTCAAAAGCTAATCTGAATATCCCGTGTTGGAGAATGAACTCGGATGGCGAACTGTTGAGCGGCATGAATGGCTTGGGAGCGACATCCGACAATGCTAGAATTAAGGTACTAGTGCAAAGTCTATTAACCAATCTGTTGAGGAAGAACTGGGTGCCATAGCTGATGCCAGAAAATGTCTGTGTTCGCTGCCATACATCAATCATCTTTGAGGAGCGGAGCATTTTAGAAAATCAATTAACAACACGGAATCTCACAAAAAAATATTCTCACAACTCTACCGATGTATTAGCCTTTCCCAGGTTGATGTGTGGCCCACTGATACTCATTAAAAGCATGTGCAACACAGGTATGAGAGAGGGGGCGGAAGTGAACTCCAAGAGTACGAAGATCATGAGAGCGTCAGCGGCGATCGGCAGCCCAAGGATATTATGGAACAGTACTACGAGGGACTGAGTGGATCATTTGAAGTATCTCGGAATTGTGTTGACTATCGACATTGAACCCTGAGGTGAATCGAGGCAAGCCGTGTAACATATGGACGGATCAGGCTGTTAGAACGGACACGAAGGTCACAGTTTTGGAAGCAGTCGTATTCAAAGCAGTGCTCAGGCATAGTTTCAAAGCATCTGCCATCTTGAAGCGTCATGAACCTCAATCAGGCAGCTTCCAGCAATGCTGTCTGCAAAGCATGCTCAAAGTTCGATAATACCACCGTGCCAACCACCACAGGTCTGATAAAATGGTAAAATTTGCAGGTGAACGGAGAGGCCGGCGCCTGGCTTGGTTTGATGAAATGACCCAAAAAGACAATGATTATATATTCAAACCTTTGCGTTTTGGGAAACAAGCACTAACCATTTACGTGTAGGAGTACAATAAGCGTACATACCTACACCTACACATAATCGGTGGTGAAATTACGTGATCAGCAGGGGAGGTAGAAAGCGGAGAACGAAGAATATTGGAGGA